CGGACAGACAGACGGTCGGACCGACGGACCGACATACGGACAGACCGACGGACCGGACATACGGACAGACATACGGATAGACATGCGGACAGACCTACGGACAGGACAGACGGACAGACCGACGGACAGACAGACGGACAGACAGACGGACAGACAGGCGGACAGACGAATAGCAGACGAACAGACGGACACTAATAGATTTCGAAGCTGTTGAACTGTTACTGTTTGACCTGTTTAACTGATTCGAAAACAAAAGATTTCTTGTTTGAAAAACGAAAAGTTGCCAAGTGAATGTAAACTTTCGTTCTTTTGCTGTGGCTATTCCTCCACTTAATAACGTACCCCAGCTACCGTACCCCGCCGCCGTCAAGCAACGCGTATATAGGGCGATTTCACCTATTTTTCCCTTTTAATCGAGCGGAGTTAGGTCGTTGCTTTTCTTTATAAGTCCCCGATAAACTGACAACCGAATATCACTGCATTAATAAGCAACAAGTAAAAATGTACTCGAAAAAGCATTAATAACTCCTCAAAATCCTCACCCCAACAGCGTTCGTCTCCGAAAAACGAAGCGCCGTACTTGGTGGAGCCGTGCAGGGAGGCATCCGCCTCGACTGACTTGTCTGAAACTTTCGGTTTCTAAAGCGTGGCCTTGGCCTGGCCAACTTTTGTAAGGCAACTTTGGGCCAAAAGACAACACTACATAAGCAATTTCACGCACCGATAGCTCTCCGAAAATCACTCTTGTTCCCCAAGAGAATAGTTTTTGTTCTCTTGCGCAAACATAAATGCTGTGTTGAGAGATTTTCTCGGAGTAAACCCTCGAAGTATCTGGGATTTGAATGCTTCTGAACGGAATCGGAAATCTGAATCCTGGCTCTGAAATCTAAAATTTGAATGCTTAAGAGCAACATCTGGGCGCTCACCTGTAATGTCAATTGACTGGTGACATCGTAAACGATTAGGTACACATCGGCTCATGCGATCCATCGCATATCATCGGCTAAACTCGCCAAAGTACTTCGCCAATTGCCAATTGCCAAACTTGTCTGGATCGGTTGCGGCTTGGTGGTCATGACTTGAACTGGATCCGGCACATGACCTATTCTAACTTGCTTAGATATAACTCTGCCTAACTCTAACTCCTGCCTAACTCTAACTCTGGCTAAATCTGAACCCACTTTTCGGCCTAGGAGATTGACCCCCTGTCCTAGGCTTTTGACAATGGGCAAATGAATGGGATTTCTCCTTGATCTACAGGATGTCTCCGATCTACAGGATGTCTCCTGATCTACAGAATGGCCCATAATTCTTGGGTCCAGTCTTTATTATCTATTATTATTAACTATCTCGATCTCCTCAAAGCCGAAATTTTCCACTAAGCACAAAAGCATTTCAAAATCAAATTTCGACATTCCAAAGAGACGAGGCTCCGGCCCAGAAAGCCCAGAAAACCCCAGATTTTTGCAAAGTGAAGTTTCCAAATTTCATCTCTTTTTCTGAATCGTTCAGCTCGCCGGTTTTCCAATCCGATGGATTATTCTGTCTGGTCCGTTCTTGAGGCAAAAGCTTGCTCAAAACTAGATTAAAATGTTGAAAGTTTGAAGAAAAGTCTTCTGAAAGCTTAAGCCTTCTTCATTGAGCTTGGGCTTTAGCCCTTGAGCCTGAGCCTGAGCCTGAGCTTCTTAGCTCAAGTTCAAGGGAGATGACAGACAAAAACAGAAAAAAACACTCTCTAACTTTTGGCTACCCCTTACAGTAAAGCCAAATCAAAGCCTCTTTGGCTGCTTGGCCTTGGCTTGCTTGGCCTTGGCTTGCTTGACCTTTCTCGTTCTCCTAGATTAGCCAGCAGATCTGGCCTCAGCTTGGCACTAACCCCTGCTTTTGTCTAGAAAGCCTTGCCTGTCTAGAAGCCTTGTCTAGAAGCCTTTTCTGGTAGCCTTGCCTGTCTAGAAGCCTTGTCTCGAAGCCTTGCCTGTCTCAGGAAGCCTTGTCTAGAACCCTTGCCTGTCTAGAAGCCTTGTCTCGAAGCCTTGCCTGTCCCAGAAGCCTTGTCTCGAAGCCTTGCACTGTCTAGAAGCCTTGTCTCGAAGCCGCCTGTCTAGAAGCCTTTCTGGTAGCCTTGCCTGTCTAGAAGCCTTGTCTCGAAGCCTTGCCTGTCTAGAAGCCTTGTCTCGGAGCCTTGCCTGTCTAGAAGCCTTTTCTCGTAGCCTTGCCTGTCTAGAAGCCTTGTCTCGAAGCCTTGCCTGTCTAAGAAGCCTTGTCTCGAAGCCTTGCCTGACCCAGAAGCCTTTTCTGGTAGCCTTGCCTGTCTAGAAGCCTTGGCTCGAAGCCTTGCCTGTCTAGGAAGCCTTGTCTCGAAGCCTTGCCTGTCTAGAAGCCTTGTCTGGAATGTCTTTCCACTAACCGTTTCGCATCATCGACCGTATCCATCAACCAAACCATCAACGGTTGTTGCACGACAGTGTCCCTGACGGCAATAGGTTGTCTTCTGAAATCGGCTTTGATAAAAGAGTAGACGGCAATAGATTGTTGTAAACAACAACAATGGAAATTTGTAAACAATTTCTCGAACCAAGCATCAGATCGTACTCGCCAATGAAGCGCTTCATGATGTACTTGACGAGTGAGCGCTGAAAAAGGAAATGAGTTGAAAAAGAATTGAAATGAAAAGAGATTCTTTAGTCTAGATCCCTGTGAGATCCATGGTTTCAAGAGTAGCCTAATTTCAGTTCTGGCCTAGATATCTTTATGGTTTCTGGCCTCCAATCGCTTCCGATTGCTTTCCCGAAGAGCCAGCCATTCCGACCAGATGCCCCCTGTATCTCGCGGGGTGGCGCTGCAGCGTTTCGCAATTTTAAATCCATACTGGAAAAGGGATAGTCTAGAGAAATGAATTACAAGAAGGAAATATTCTTGATTCTGAAACAATTCAATTTGCCCATCAAAAGCACAAAGTCATCCAGTAAGAGCACAGAAAGTACATAATTGTGAGAGCATAAAGTTTTACGAGATTGCGATAAAAACAAGGACAAGCGAACAAGGGAAAAGCTAAAGGACAAGCTCAAGGACAGCTAAAGAACAAGCTAAAGAAGGAAAAGCTAAGGGACAAGCTAAACAAGGACAAGCTAAAGGACAAGCTAAAGAAGGACAAGCTAAAGGACAAGCTAAACAAGGACAAGCTAAAGGACAAGCTAAAAGAAGGGGAGAAGCTAAAGAACAAGCTAAAGGTTAAGCTAAAGAAGGACAAGCTAAAGGACAAAGCTAAACAAGGGAAAAGCTAAATGATAAGCTAAAGGACAGAAGCTAAAGAAGGCTAACAAACAAAGAAAAAGGATAAAGCTTCAAATCTAGAGGAGGTAATGGTCAGCAATCGATAATCGAGGTAAAAGGAAAGGATCAGCTGGAGGGAAGGGAGTGGACAACTGACCACTTTTCCCTGATCTGATCCAGAAAGACTCGTTGTTCTACTAAACATGGCTGTCAGTCCCTAGTCGATATTTGAATCTTACACTATCTGAAATATCTCACAGCTTTGTATCTCTATGAACACAAGGATATCTTTGTAGCCCTACAACAGCCACTACTCTCAATTGCCTTACAAACTGGCCAGAATGACTAGATTTCCTTATTTCTTCTTTCTTTCTTCTTCTTTCTGTTCTTCTTTCTTTCTTTCTTTCTTTCTTTCTTTCTTTCTTTCTTTCTTTCTTTTTCTTTGTTTCTTTTTTCTTTGTTTCTTTCTTTCTTCCTTTCTTTCTTTTTTCTTTCTTCTTTCTTTGTTCTTTCTCTTTGTTTGTTTGTTTGTTTGTTTGTTTGTTTGTTTGTTTGTTTGTTTGTTTGTTTGTTTGTTTCTTTCTTTCTTTCTTTCTTTCTTTCTTCCTTCTTTCTTTCTTCCTTCCTTCCTTGCTTTCTTCTCCCTCTTTGTCTTTTCTTCTTTCTTTTGGCAAGTTAAAGTACCGGATAGTTCCGATTCGGTTTCCTATCAGTGATGATTTATTTGATGTTTAACCGCTGAAATTCCGATTCGGTTCCGATTCGTTTCTCATTTGGTTCGGTTTCGATTCGGTTGCAATTCGGTTCCGATTCGGCTCCGATTCGTTTCCGATTTAACCTATTTTTAACTTGTAACTCGGTTTCACGGGAAAAGTGAAGAATCCTATATTAAAGTCCTGTATCAGAAAGGTTGCCATTCGGTTCCGATTCGGCTCCGATTCGGTTGCAATCCGGTTCTGATTCGGTTCCGATTCGTTTCTCATTTGGTTCGGCTCCGATTCGGTTGCCATCCGGTTCCGATTCCGCTTCAATTCGGTTGCAATCCGGTTCCGATTCGGCTTCGATTCGATTGCCAGCGATTCGGCTGCAATCCGGTTCCGATTCGTTTCCGATTCGTTTCCCATTTGGTTCGGCTCCGATTCGTTTCCAATTCGTTTCCAATTCGTTTCCGATTCGGTTGCAATCCGGTTCCGATTCGGTTGCTAACTCCGATTCGGTTGCCAGCTCCGATTTGGCTCCGATTCGGTTCCGATTGCGCTTCAATTCGATTGCAATCCGGTTCCGATTAGGCTCCGATTCAGTTGCCAGCTCCGATTCAGTTGCCAGCTCCGATTCAGTTGCCAGCTCCGATTCGTTTCCGATTCATTTCTCGTAACTTGTAACTCGATTTCCAAAAAAAATGAGCACAAAGTCTAAAGCATTCATTGATTTCTTGATTTGCTTTCAAAGAAAAACAATAAATCACCCCAGTGACCTCAATTGATTCGTTTCTTTCGCACTTTTTTCAGTCTTTAAACACCTCCAAATTGTATAGTTTCATTTCCTCCATTTCTCTTTGCTCCTTTGATCAGTAAACACGTGCCAATGGCTAAAAAACGATCTGATAAGGTCATTTTTCATCAAAAAAATTTGCGTTTTCCTTTTTTTTACGTTTTCCGTTTTTTTACGTTAGTGAATCGATCAAATTTGATTGTTTTTCAGGTTTAAAGCCATTTGCACATATTAATATGTTAATTTTCGATATTTTACTATTTATTGGAGTTGTTAAAGCCCAAATTGTGGTCACGACGTGGGGAGCCGACGGATTTCAAGAGGCCACTTTCAATGGTTTGTTTTGGGGATTTCTTTTTTTCCACTTTGTAATCTTATAAACGCATTGCATCCAACACACCAAACTCTATCGTTTTTCAATTTACCCTGCTAAATAGCATGTGTTTGAGCGCACAAAGTACGCGCCAATCGGCTTGATCGACTTGATCGACTTGGTCCTCTTGACCGTCTTGGTCCTCTTGACCGTCTTGATCCTCTTGACCTTCTTGGTCCTCTTGATCCTCTTGGCCTTCTTGATCCTCTTGGCCTTCTTGGTCCCCTTGACCTTCTTGGTCCTCTTGACCTTCTTGGTCCTCTTGATCCTCTTGGCCTTCTTGATCCTCTTGACCTTCTTGGTCCTCTTGACCTTCTTGGTCCTCTTGACCTTCTTGGTCCTCTTGGTCCTCTTGATCGGCTTGGTCCTCTTGACCTTCTTGGTCCTCTTGGTCCTCTTGACCTTCTTGGTCCTCTTGACCTTCTTGGTCCTCTTGGTCCTCTTGATCGGCTTGGTCCTCTTGACCTTCTTGGTCCTCTTGCTCATCTCGATTCTCTTGATCCTCTTGATCAGCTGTATACGCGACTGTACTTTGTCTGCTAGTAAACGCACGCCATCTAGTAGACTTGCTTGCTTCTTTTGACCTTAACTCAAGGTGCTTTATCTTGCGAAAACGATGCGCCAAAGGATGAGCGTTTGCGCGAAAGCAGAAAGCGTAGCAGAAAGCGAAAGCGAAAGAATTATAATCTAAAATTAAAAGAGCAGAATCTAAAAGCAAATCTAGATGCACTTTGTGCTCAAATCTTCTAAAACGCACGCTTTCTGGCGCACATTTCTTAAGAATTATGTCAAACCAGTGCGCCAGAAGTTGTGAGTTTATAAAAAAAGCATAAAGTATATGTACTTGTACTTTCGTTTTAGCTTTCGAAGCGTACAGAAATGGGAACTCGCGAATGGCCTCGCTTGTCGAGGGTTTATCCACGTGTGAACGCTTGCAAGTAGGTTTATTTGAAAAATTTACTTAGAAATATATCTAACTTTGGATTAAAATCGCATTAAATTTGCAAAATCGTAAATCCCAGTGTGATACAACAGTTGGTTACGGTGGATCGCCGGATGAGAACGGAGAAACGACACTGGACGCTTTGCTCATTGATGGGTGAGGGAAATCATCTACTATATGTAAAAGAGCAGTGTCTGTGCGGTCGTCCGTCTGTCCGTCCGTCTGTCCGTCTGTCTGTCCGTCTGTCTGTCCGTCTGTTCGTCCGTCTGCCTATCTGTCTATCCGTCCTCTACGTATGATTCATTTCAGCCGCTGAAATTCATGTAAAACGGTTTTCTTGATTGAATAGCCTATCAGCTCGACATATTCCCGTCAGAAGAAGTCTGTCCGTCCGTCTGTACGCGATTTACAGGCTTTTTAGTTTGTTAGGCTTAGAATTCTATGTAGTTGTTCATCGCGTATTCCATTTTTTTTAAATAGCAAAGCTCACGACACAGCCGGGATTCTAACTCGGATCGTGTGGGCCGTAGACAAGCGAGCTCCCGACTGCCCCACGGCGACCGAAACGTCTAGTCAGAAAGACCCGTAAACCCGGAAAAACCGGTTTTTCGGCTGGTAGCCAAAAAATCGAACATTTTATCTACTATATATACAGCAGAAGAGACGTTTGTCTGTCTGTCTGTCTGTCTGTTTGCCTGTTTGCCTGTATGCCCGTCTGTCTGTCTGCCTGCCTGCTTCTCTGTCTGTCTGCCTGTCTCTCTGTCTTTCTGCCTGTTTGTTTGTTGGTCTGTCCGTCTGTCTGTCTGTCTGTCTGCCCGTCTGTCCCGTCTGTCAAAAAGGGGCGGGGCCTAGATTGCGTGAAAAAAACGTTAGTAGTAGTTAGTAGTTTCACTGGTAGAGTAGATAAAAAATACAATAAGATTACCACTCCAGCCCCGGCCATAAAATGTCGGGGGTGGCTCAGCTGAGACGGGTGAAAGACGCGGCACGGGTGGCATGGGCGGTGATGAATTACACGGAACACACGATGCTAGTTGGGGAACAAGGTAAAAATTTCTAAAAAAATGGACGATTTGGAACGCACGAAAGAGGTTGGTGAAGGGGAAATGGGAAAAAAGTGCGCAAGAGTTGACACCAATACCGACATTCGACATTGTGGAACGAGATTTAGAATTGAGGAAGTGCTAGATTTGATTTTTTTTGCAGAAATGAGAGATCTGGAAGGCACGAGGGAGGATTGAATATTAATCAGAGCCAGAACCAAAGCCTGAACCAGAACCAGTCTCAGACTCTTGCTTTTTCAGCCACCCAATTCGCGTTAAGGATGGGCTTTTCGGAGACGGATTTAACGACGAATGCGTCACTGGAAATGCTTCAAAAATGGAAAAACAACAATTGTCAGCCGAATTTTTGGACGGTTTGTTAGAGATTTGTTCGAGATTTCGATTTCAAATCTTTTTTCAGAATGTTTTTCCGAATCCAAAACAAACTTGTGGTCCATATCATCGAAATGAGATTTTCAAGACGAATTCGAAGTCAGAAATCGTTACGAATCGTGTGATCGATCGGTAAATCTTAAATTTGCATATCATCCATAGTATTTTCAAGTAAATTTTCCCTTTAAACCCTTTAAACGAGCCAATTGTCATCGTTTTTCGCTCATTTTTCCCGTTTTCATCGTTTATTTCGTCCGTTTTAGCTCTTTTTGAGTCAAAAATTCACCCAGAACCTTCCAGAATTCTTAAAAACAAGATCTTAATCTTAAAAATCCCAAAACGAAACAAATCCTTGATCCAAAATCAAAAAAGAAATCAAAAATGATCTCGGGCGGGATCGAACCGCCGACCTTCTGTGTGTTAGACAGATGTGATAACCACTACACCACGAGACCGCTTGACCTCCGCCTGAAAAAAGGGTCTTATCAATGGTCTGTGGCTAAAACTTCGTTGGTCGCTGTTGACTTTCTCGAGCATGAATAGTCAAATCACAAATCAATCAGCTTGGACACAGTGACCGCGTGGCGTAGTGGTTAGTGTGCTATGCTTCAGTTCTATACCTCGCGGGTTCGAACTCGGTTGCAGGCATTTCTTTGCTTTTTGTGTTTATTGATGTAGAAACTTAAACTAAACAATTTTAGGGGACTTTTCGGAAAATATATAATGCAAAATATCCATCTTAAGCTTTCCGTATCTTAAATCCGAAAAGAAATCAAAAATGATCTCGGGCGGGATCGAACCGCCGACCTTCTGTGTGTTAGACAGATGTGATAACCACTACACCACGAGACCGGTTGACCGGCCTTTGAAAATAGGGGTTCTTTTCAATGATCTGTGGGTCAAATTGACTAAAATCTGTCATCTGGCTAGACTAAAAAGCTTCGTTGGTCGGTTAAGAGCTAGTTTTTCCGGCGGGTCTCCATTGTCGCCATGGCGCAGTAGGCAGGGCCCTTGTATACAAGGCACATGGTCCGGGTTCGACTTCCCGTAGTGACGCGAAGTCTTGGCTTTTTAATTTTTATTTTAAATGACAGAACTATATTATATTCTAAGGTTTTCTAAAGAAATTTTAGCTTTATTGGTCTCTGTTCTGTTGCTAAACTTGGCCAAAATCTGGGGCACAATCATAAAATCAGCAGCGCTTCTTGGACTTTCAATCTCTCCACATACATTCGCGCGAAATCTCACAGATTTTCCCAAAAATCTTTCAGCTTTTCGAGGTTTAACTGAAAAATGTCTGAAAAATGTCTGAAAATCGTCTGAAATGTCTAAAAATCGTCTGAAATGTCTGAAAATCGTCTGAAATGTCTAAAAATCGTCTGAAATGTCTGAAAATCGTCTGAAATGTCTAAAAATTGTCTGAAATGTCTAAAAATGTCTGAAAATTGTCTGAAAAATGAAAAAACTGAAGCTTATCACTTCGAAAAGTCATAGCCATGCTTAAAGATATCCATCTTAAGCTTTCCCCATCTTAAATCAGAAAAAGAAATCAAAAATGATCTCGGGCGGGATCGAACCGCCGACCTTCTGTGTGTTAGACAGATGTGATAACCACTACACCACGAGACCGATGAGAGACCCCGGGGAAAAGAGGGACTAGATTTTGGGTAACGGCTTTTTTTGCGAAAGTGCACTATGGTGTAAAAACGTGTAAAAATCGTCTATTTCAGATTTATTTTAAATAAAAAGGAATTAAATGTAATGTAAATTAAAGTAATATCTAGTAAACATCTAGTAAACATTTTTAGCTACAATCACGATACAATTGGCATGGTAATCATTGATGAAAGTGGAGAAATCTCTGCGGGAACTTCGACGAATGGCGCTAGTCATAAAGTGGGTCGAGATTTAGAGATCTAGAGATCTAGAGATGCTAGAGTCCTTTTGTAACTCTGGTAGAGTACTATACTGAACTGTAGAGTACTATACCGAACAATAGAGTACCATAGGGTACATTAGAGTACTATAGGGTACATTGCCGAACAGTAGAGTACTATCTCGTACAGTAGAATACTATACCGATCAGTAGAGTACTATACGGACCAGTAGAGTACTATACGGTCCAGTAGAGTACTATCTCGTACAGTAGAGTACTATACCGCCCAGTAGAGTACTATCTCGTACAGTAGAGTACTATACCGTCCAGTAGAGTACTATCTCGTACAGTAGATTACTATACCGTCCAGTAGAGTACTATCTCGTACAGTAGAGTACTATACCGTCCAGTAGAGTACTATACCGTCCAGTAGAGTACTATACGGTCCAGCAGAGTACTATCTCGTACAGTAGAGTACTATACCGTCCAGTAGAGTACTATCTCGTACAGTAGAGTACTATACCGTCCAGTAGAGTACTATACCGTCCAGTAGAGTACTATACGGTCCAGCAGAGTACTATCTCGTACAGTAGAGTACTATACCGTCCAGTAGAGTACTATCTCGTACAGTAGAGTACTATACCGTCCAGTAGAGTACTATCTCGTACAGTAGAGTACTATACCGTCCAGTAGAGTACTATCTCGTACAGTAGAGTACTATACCGTCCAGTAGAGTACTATACCGTCCAGTAGAGTACTATACCGTCCAGTAGAGTACTATACCGTCCAGTAGAGTACTATACCGCCCAGTAGAGTACTATACCGTCCGGTATAGTACTATACCGTCCGGTATAGTACTATAGCGATCAGTAGAGTACTATACGGACCAGTAGAGTACTATACGGTCCAGTAGAGTACTATCTCGTACAGTAGAGTACTATACCGTCCGGTATAGTACTATACCGTCCGGTATAGTACTATAGCGAACAGTAGAGTACTATACCGTCCAGTAGAGTACTATACGGTCCAGCAGAGTACTATCTCATTGCAGTAGAGTACGCTTCTGATCCAGTAGAGTACTTATACCGTCCAGTGTTGAGTACGTTGCAGTCCCGGCTGAAATACTATCTCGTACGGAAGTAGAGTACCCCATACAGATCCCAGTAGAGTAAAATCTCATTTTTCCAGTACTGCTACCGTCCAGTAGAGTACTATCTCGTACAGTAGTACCTACTTTAGAGATCCGGTAGAATACTCACACGTACAGTGAAATTACTATACAGTCCAGTAATTTTACTAGTCCCCCACGGTAGAGTACTATACCGTCCATTCGAGTACTGTCACGTCCAGTAGAGTACTATACCATGGAATAAGCTACAAAAAAAAAAAAAAAAAAAAAAAAAAAAAAAAAAAAAAAAAAAAAGTCCGGTATAGTATACATCGACCCTTTTAGTACTATAGCGACGTCAGTAAAGAAATTACTGGCCCAGTAGAAGCCTTATACGGTCCAGCCAGAGCAAAAATCGTACAGTAAGTACCCCCACGTCCGATATAGTAGAATCCGGCCCCTCCCAGGCTCACCAGCAAACATTAGACCACTGCAAAGCGTCCAGAAAAGTACTATACACGGTCCAGTAAAGTCTGTTGGGGTACTCTACAGTTTTCCCAGTACTCATTATGCATTTATCTGGTGCACTAACACATCACAGAAAGAAGAAGCCAAGAAATGCAAACCAGATCATTGCTTTGAGCCATTAGAACAGACAAGGAAACAACAGACAGACAAACATGCTAAAAAATCTAGACTAGGAACTAGAACATAAAATTAAGGCAGATTTACGCTAGATGTTCTACATTTTCTGTGACAGTTTAAACAATGCTGCCTTTTGGGGAAATCTATCTTTTAGGCTGATAGGGTCATCTTATCAGTTCCCCATCTAAAGGCTTATCAGTTCATTTTTGGAAGCTATTTTAACCAATCCCGCTGATTGACACATACGGTTTTGTCAGTCCGAAAGGACATATGGACAAGCAGAAGCCCAGACGGACAGATGGACAAATGGGTAGACAGAGGAACGGACAGACGGACAAACGAGGTAGCCAGGCAAGACAAAAAAATTACTAGATCCCAGACAGAGTCGGAGATTCATCGATTCCCGGCTCTGGAGCCTTTTTGACACAGAAAGTGGGTGGAGCGGCGGCGGGAGGCAACGGAAATGTGATGATGAGGTTCTTACCGAGGTTTGTGGGAGAAGAGCTTTGAAAATTACGGCCCAATCCAGAAGAGAGTACCCAAGGAGCACTGAAGAGCTGTTTACAAGTTGAAATTATAAAATCATAATACATATTTTTACAAGCCAATCTATTCAATAAGTTTTTAACATTGTTTGCATTTTTGACTGTTTTTGTCTTAGGCTTTTTTTTGTCTTTATCTTAGATAAGTATTGATTCTTTTCTATTCTAAAAACAAGAAAAGTTTCCCCAGTTGTTCTTTTTAGCTGAGGTTTATTTTGGTTTGAAAGAGGTTTTTGAAAAAGATCTGCTGCAATACATGCTTCAAAGGCGGCGCTAGGGAAGAAATTTGGATTGACTTCATTTCTTTCTAAGGTACTCTTGATTTTCGGTTATCAAACGCGGTGGGATTCGTGCGTGAAAGCGCTGCTCCCAGTGAAGCCGCGCTAAGAACCACAGGAAGGATCTCCCAATTTTATCCCAAATTCCAGGGACTATTGGAGCGAGAAAGCCAACAATGTGAAGGTGAAGTCGAATAATATTGTAGTTTTTGTTGCACAATGGTTCCAATGCAGTTCAATCTAGTTCAATCTATTTGGGTTGATCCATAATTATCCGGACTTCTTTTATAAATGATTTCATTTAACAAAAATAACATAAATAGGTTAAGAAAAATATGTTTAATTCACGGTATTCTGCCCAGACATTCACCGCCTACATCAAAAACAGATTGCCATTGCTTGGAAAGCGATCGATTCCCGAGCGAAGAATAAACGCGATCTTTTTGGCGGAGGCAATCCACGCTTTGGCTTTATCGTCTATCAAGTCATCCAAATTGGTGAAATCTTATTTGTTTGCCAATTTTTGAGCGATCGATTGACACATTGATGTTACTAGGTTTAGGGCTTTGGCGGGAAAATGGAGCGACGGTGTGGAAAAGATCCCAGCCCTTACTAGCGATGGATTCCAGACGACATGGCGCTCAACGATGCGGACGGAGAGTGCGTGTGGGACTTCTTCCCCCAATTTCCATACTTTGCCTTAAGCTTTTTGGGAGATGGCGCACGATCGTTGACTGATCGGCATTGAATTCATCTGCCAGCATTCTGGTTGTCGAAAGGCTTTCGTATTCTTTAACGGCTTCCAGAAGTGCCCCGCCACGTAGTAATTCCGATGGCCGTCCTCTTCTGGATCTCTATCATCACCACTTGTCGGTACCGGACTTAACCGATCCACGAATTACATTCATAAACTGTTGCATCCAAATTGTTCTTGACCAAAAGTTCTTTGAGATCGCGAGAAAGGACTCTGCGGCAGACCATCCCTTTTAGAAGTGGTAGAGCAGCGATATGGCGAAGATGATTATGATTGTCGACACGCATTTTGTTCGACTAAGGAATAACGAATGTTTTAAAAAAAGAAGTAGACAAAAAGCTTTCGAGCAAAGATACAAAGCACGCAAAAAGAAGTCCGGGAAGTAATTATGCAATTTCAACCGCCAACAGTTCAATGTAATTCAATCTGAGTTCACTGCAGTTCAATGTATTAGATTGGTGAATTGAAAACTGCCGGACTTTGAACTAAGAGGGATTCAACATCAAACCCATCCAATTCATTCCAAATAATCTCCATTATTATACACGACTTCTGCCCATTTTACAGGAAATTTTGCGGATTCCTCTTCGTGGTAGAGATCTTGGTTTCGGGTCGAAAAACTTTCAAGCCAATTTTGTGCCTGCTTCTTTCGAATCGAAGTGTTCTCCTGCAAGCTCATTTGATTACTAATGGGTTGGGGAGAATGAGTTCTGTTCCGAAAATCAAAAAATGTCTAAAACTTCTATTCGACTTCGTCAAATAATATGCGTTTGATATCAGTAGAATGGTTAATTAATTCTCTACAAAATGACATTTAAAAGGAAATTCAAACAGCGCCTCCGCTCAAGAAAAGCCATTTTTTCACAAAACCTACAAACTGTGATCTAGAAAAAACCATTGGTGGGATCTTCCCTGCAAATTTTGGCAACTTAGGTAATTGAATGTGCTCTATCTTTTTTATATAAACACCAAAGAAGGTCTTATGTGAAAAGAAACTGTTCAAATGATGAGTCGGACTCTTTGCCATTTTAACTAGCTATGTTTGGAAGTTCATAAACTCCACGAAAGAAAAGCTTTGTGGAATCTCCCCAAAAGTGATTTTGTAGAGAAATAGTGGATCCTTTTGATGAAACCAAACGTATGTTTAAAGAAGGCTTTATGTGTGCAAAAGTCCCTTTAAAGTTTGCGCCGACTCATTCTACCCAACTAATATCTATTCCGGACCAGTTACTCATGATCCGGAATAAATAGTAATCAGTAGTCATGAGGTCCGGACTGTATGGGGAAGACACCAAAAGTCTATTCAAGCCAAAAGTTCCCAAACAAGGCTGTTGATTTTAGAGACTAGTCACTTTTGCAACAGGAGGGCGCGGGTTGTCGGGGATGAGAACGATCTTTGACTTGGATTAGACTATCTCTTCAAGGAAATATCTTCTTATTCTATTCTTTGACTATTCTTCTTCAGGGATTCATTCACCTTTCTCAACTGTTCACTGTATTTGATTGCATTAACGGTCGTCTTGCTATCCAGCAACTCCCAGCACACCACTCTCTCTATATCCCAGAAAACGCAGAGCATCAACTCTTCTGGTGCAAATCGGGCTTAGGGTCACTTTCGGGTTTCTCGCCTGGCCCCACCCGATTGCCGCTTCCTTCGAAAGTTCAGAGAGAACCCATTTCTGATCTCCGGTCA